AAACTGAAACAAAAGAAATTCATTTTTAAATAGTATTCGGTAACCTCTACTTGGGAGATAAAAATCGGCCGATTTTATTTTTTAGCCGGAAATCATCGGTCGTTTCTTAGGCGCAGGGCCTCTTAACACGGATTACGAACGACGAGTTTGAAAATTTAGGTTTAACTTTTGAAGAAACATAAACCATGACGTGGCTCCTACAAGCCTTGAAGGGGGAGGAACATTTTGGCGGGAAACACGCGCGCAAGGAACGCATGGCCACTCGGGAGTTTTTTTGTTGCTCAGTAGGTTTGGTTTCAAATAGTTAACCCTTTGAGCCCCAAGTACGCATGTACGCGTAATTGATGGTCGTGCTCTTTGTACCTCTTGTGACGTCATCAATTTAAATGTCATTAGATATTCTTGATAAGCAGATAGTAGTTCTAGGCTGGACCTTTCCGTACAATGGTCAGGTTTAGATATCGACGACATTCCGACGTCGCAAATCGAAAAACAACGTTATCAGTTTTGGTGCAAAAACGGTGGTGAAATGGTCCACAACGCCTATGATTGATCAAGGTCCATTTCTAGGCTTCGCCCGTAATTAACATCGAACTTTTCACGGCAGCCAGAAAGAACATGCAACGCAAAAGGTAGCCAGTGTAAAAGGGCCGACAAAAACAGAAAGGAAAGGGGCAACAAACAAAGTTTGGTATTCAAAGGGTTAATGTGTTTGTGTTTAATCTCAGAAACGGTTAAAAGTGGCATAGTTGCCGCAGAATACGGAGAAGACGATTCTGATCCGGAAGAAGACATCAACGACAAGTTTACCGACTTGAGTATCATGGCTTGCTTGTTGTGCAAACGACAGTTTCCAAACAAAGAAGCTCTGGAAAGACATCAGAAATTTTCCGACCTTCACAAGGTAATAATGAGGCCACCTTGAAAGCCGAGTGACAGTGTTTTGTTATTTACAGGCTTCTTGGCTGACAATGTTGTATGGAAAAGTCCCGGGCGAGAACTTCCATACGAAAAGGTCGTCGTCTTTCTTGGAGGTGTGAAGTCCGTGAAAACTCGAACCGCCCCGCATCGCCAAATGAGAATATCTTTCCAAGAACATTTCCCGTCCGTTACACGTCCGTTACACGCTTTAAAATCCTCCCGTTTTGATACAGAAGTGACCCTTTATCGAGACCTTGTTTGTGAAAGTTTGTTCTTGATCAGATCTGATTTTACTCTGCAGCAAAATTTAGAGATTCATAAGAAGATGGGAATGACTGATGAGCAGCTTGAAGCTTACGAGAGACAAGAACGAGAGGTATGTGAACTCAGTCTGGTGATACGCGTGCTGTACATGTTTAGCCAAGCGAAGGAGACTTCAACACAAGGATCGATAATAGGAGAGAAAATGTGTGACTTTATAAGTCGGCACTTAGCTTCGAGCTGTAAGGAGCTAGCTACACATAGCTTAATTTTCAGGCATTCCTCAGACGAAGTAGTTGTTGCAAATAGTTCTTTTATCTCGTTTTAAATAATTCATCGAGTTTAAACACAGGACACCATAACTGTGACGGTGTTTGAAAATCTGATCTCAATTAGTATAGGTGTGTGATTTTATTTCTCCGTTTTCTCCTCAGTTTTAGTTTCGATAGAGAGGTTATGATCACATTGCTAAACACCTCGAAGTTCATCAAACATGCTCAGCTGCGCGTCGTATTTTCAACTCTCTTCTCGGTGTTTAGAAATGTTAGCAAACACGGTCTTTCGTGCTTGTTATACTACGTAAAACATGGAAAATAATCCGGTCTGACGTATTAGCCATTCCCTGGGTTGTGTATTTTCAAAACGAAACCAAGACTGCACCAAGAGGTTGACTTCGGGTAGACCCGATGTCAGCCTCTTGGTACAGCCTTGATCCGCAAATCTAGCTAGTGGCAGGGCGGAGGCCTTGAACCCGGGACCNCTCTGCCACAGTACCTCATCCCTTAAGAAGCCAACACAACCACGACAATAACAAATTTATTGGGAAGCAACAAAATAAAGAATATAGAGAGCAGTGACTTATAGGAAAGTAAAACTTTGACATGATATCGAGAAAGAATGTACAAAATAATAGGGTGTATAAATGAAATGCAGCAAATTGAAGAGACAAAAAGTTATGGTTAAGTCAGGATGAAAAACGACTCGTAGAATGGTTCGTTTTCGCTCGTAACATTAGGGATTATCTTACGTCACTTGAATTCAAAAGTTTCTGTGTCACGCATCACGTGTTTAATTATTGTTTCGTTATTAACAGAACAAGTACCGTGACAGAGCAAAGGAGAGAAGAGAAAAATACGGCCAGCCAGAAGCTCAGAAAGTTAAGGTACCGTCAAGACGAAGAGGTGGTGGAGGAAGCATGTAAGGAGAAAAATGGTTTGTTGTTGTTTGCCGAAATACGAAATGGGAACCGTGTACAAACATAAACACGATAGACTGACGGCCATCATCGGGAGGGGTTGCGAGACAATCTAGCGATTACCCAAACCCAGGGAATTTTGTGGATATAACAAAAAAAGTCCATGTTGGCTTTTGCTCTATGGTGGTGGTATTTATTTATTTATTTATTTATCTATCTTTTGGAAAAAAACAACAACAACTTTGAGTGAGGAAATTTCCTTTCAATTTATACTGTACCAACATCGCATTACAAGGCGGAAATTGGAGGTTTAGATCAGTTTTGGAACATTTTCGATATCACCTGGCTGGTTGGACAACGGATCAAGTTGGAGGCACGGAAAAATAAGTTGCTGGAGTTTCCTGTGATTTAGTAGAACAGAGTCATAAATATATAGTACTTTATTGTTGATGTGGAGTTACAAAGCCTTCTTGTGAATGCATGGGTAGGATCGAGGGAAGTTGTGGACTCGCGCCTCGAAGCTTCACACAACGATTCTTTTTGACAGTTTGGGTCTTGGTCGTCTGTTTGTACAGCGCGCGCGTTCCTCTCAGTTTCGAGAGCGCAGTTGCACAGAAAATGCAACTGCATTCTGTGTTTTAGGTACTAAACTAAGCTGATTTGTTTACAGAACTTATGAACAGCCTCCCGCCGAGCGGATTGGTGGAGAGAATATCGGCAATCAAATGTTGAAGGTATCCTGAAAATATACATGTTCACTTGAGAAAAATGATGAGGAATATTTATTCAGCACTCGATGATACAAGTAGAGTTGAAAAAATGTTCTACAATAAGTGTTTTTCTTGAAGGAGCTGTTATTTAATTATTTTATTCATAATGTTTGTAGCAATCAAACCACGTTCATTTTTTGTTGTTGTAACATTAGGCCATGGGCTGGACTGAGGGGAGTGGTCTGGGGAAGGAAGGTCAAGGTATCGTTAACCCCATTGAGGTATGTCACATAAGTTAGATTTTTTTTTGGCTCCTAGACTGACTTCTTTGCTCGAAAATCTGCGGGACAGAACGGAAACGAACAGAGACGTCGAGAGGCGAGTAGCGGAAAACGCGAGCGAGCGTCGGAAAACATTCTCCTTTCCGACGCCCGCGCTACTTGCCGTTCTCTTCTGTTTGTTCGTTTCCGTTCTTCCCTTCGTGGATTTTCGGGCAAAAGAGAGACTGCTCGCAGTTTGTATTACTTCTGTCAGTCTGAGTGAGAACTTGAAGACACACCAGACCAAGACGTACTCACTCGTTAACTCACTCAATTAATCTGTTGTGTATGTATAATTCTCGTCTATTGTAGTTTTTCCACCAACTCTAAGTCCGTCTTATTTTCCAGTAGATAACGTAGCGCTCGTTAGTTCTCTGAAAGTTAATATGTCATCATGGGCAAATTAACGAATGTCCATTTAGACCCCGAAGGGCCGAGTTGTTGGAAAACCGATTAACACTAATCCAGTTTTAAAAGGTTATCATGAGTGTAGCTTTTTACTACCCTTCGTCACTTTAGGAACGCGAAGAAATCTGGGACGAGTTTCATCTGGCAGTTACTTGTGGGATCGTTAACGGTCCCACAAGGGACTGTGAGCAACCTCGTTCCCAGGGTCTCTCATCTTCCTTTACAACGGGAAGATAAGAGACCCTCGGAACGAGGTTGGACTAGGAGATGAGACTCGCCCCAGATTTATTCTCGTTACTAAAGTGGCTAATTATTTGATTTCTTATGTATAAAAATTGTTTTCATCGCTAACGTTTTGTGGATTTTGAGATAGGATCACGTTAACATTGTAGACCTGAAAAGATAGACGGAAAACCTGAATGAGCTCTAAGATTGAAATAAATTAGCCTGCGTAGCAAGCGTTTCTGTGGGGTTCGGGAGCAAAAAATTACAGCGCGAAAAATGGAGCGAGTAAAAGAGGGGGGAGGGGGAGGGGAAGGAAGAAGGTTTCCTTCCTTCCCCTCTCCCAACCCCCTCTTTCTTTTTTTTTTTTTTGGCTCTCGCCCCATTTTCCGCGCAGACAAAACACCGAATCTTTGCTTCCAAACCCCACGGAAACGCTTGCTACGCAGGCTAGATTTAAATAAAAATTCAGGCTCACCCTAGACTAAATATGCTCTAATCATTATTTGCTGAGTCACCAAGCACTAAGCTGGCCTATGAACATAAAACAATAGCCCTGCGGATGCTTAAACCCGGCCTGGCCACGTTTCTTAGTAGACTGGCCTTTCTGGTACGGGCAAAGGTTTAATAACCATTATTTTATTCGCTTTTAGGCAAAAATGCGGAGTCAGAATGCCGGTCTTGGGTTGAAAGGAAGCAGTTATGGCGCGTCCTCTTCGGATTCTTATCGGGACAAACTCAAAAAACTGGTGTGTGCAATTGTACTCTATACTTTAGCTGAAAATATTATTGTCTACGTTTCTTCTGATGCTGCTTGTGAGAATTCAGTGGTATCTCACTACAATTTTGACACAGTAACAATGTTAATGATGCAGAAAAACATGCACAAAAAAAGAGAGAAGGGTGAAGCAACTTTTAGATTGATTGGAGTTTATTTTAATTAGACTTCTGGTTTTCCTTTTTACTTCAGTGATTCTAAGACATTGTCTTTCTTTCCTTTACAGGCACGATCACGCTTTAACGATTCTTAACAGATGTATGTGGATTCCCAGCTATCAAGTGGGCCAAAGTTGTCCCAGGAGTGTCCTCCAGAAGTTGAACTCGAGAAAACGGAGAGTCGGGTCGCCGCGTTAAAAACTTCGACGAAGAACCTGGAGAAATTCAGAATTTCCACAGATAGTTTGAGCAGTCGCGCTCATGAGAAACGAAATCTTTGTTCGCTCACTTTCTTCGCTTAGAATATGGCCGAATGGGCAAGCCTACAAGATTTGCCGTTGTTGGTTATCTCGTCGTTTTTGTAAGTTATTGGTTGAAAGGAATGAGAATATTGGGCTCCCTTGTCATTGATGTGTAGATGAGGATGAACACTGTAGATAAAAAAAAATAAAATTATTGTAATAAACAGTGAAATAGCGCCTCAGTCGTCCTTGATTTTGAAGCAGGAATGAAAATAAATCTTATTTGGTTACCAGTCTCCCAGAGTAACAGGTACGCTCTTCACAAGTTGCTCGAAATCTGTCAAAAAGTTTATCACAAGTTGCTCCAAACAATCCAGAATGTTTCTCGTTTCCTTCATTTGGTCTTAATATGTTAATTTGCCCCTCAGAAATAACTTTCTAAGCCGTTACTGATGCATTTTAATGGAACCCGAGTTACAAAATCGTTCGATATATCAAAATTCTGACATGGCAACGACGCTTTCAGGACAAAGTTCTATATTTGGTGGTGTTTTCTTTGTTTCCAAGTCCCTTTTGGGAATTGTGAGACGAAAGAAACTTAAAAAATTGCAATTTTGACCCGAAATCCTCGGATCCATGTTAGAATATTGATAAATCGAACGTGGCCCCGGTGAGTTATTCTCCTGAACTTTGTGGTCATCTTTAGGTTGTGTATGATTTTTTTTTCTCGGGCAATAGATTCTGCAAGAATTTTTTTAAAAAAAGTCAAACACAGGACTTGCTCTACATTTTTTTTCTACATACTTCCCTTGACAGGGCTCAACCCTCCCCCTCCTCCCCCCCTGGCCCCTGCCACTCCAAAAAAGTAATGGTCCGTTTTCCGGAGCTGTTCATAGCAAACGTTCATAAGAACTGAAACTTGGAAAAAGTGGGGCCGGCGCATTTCAGTTTTCAGCGAATGCAGTTGGCCTAAATCTTACCCCCTTTTGGCTTTGCTGTGCTTCTCTTCAGTTCTTTTAAAGTTTTAATCCGTCATTACGATAGTCATTTCACGACCAGTGGCACGAGTAGCTCAACTGGAATGGGTAAGATTGCGTGACCTAGCCATGCCGGACAAACTTTGTCATGTGACCTTGCTGGCACGAACATGGCGGAAACAAGGAACTATTTCACGAGCTGTTTCGTTCTGTTCATTTTGAGGCTTTCTTGCAGCAATGCAAACTCTTCGATGAATGGAACAGTATACTACGCTGAAGGGTAGGTTCTCTTTATGTTGTTATACGTTGTTTTTTT